CGACTTTTCCTTTAAGAAAGCCACAAACTTTTCTACCAACCTGAAAATCTCAAAGGAAAATGTTCTTGTGCACCAGTACAATGATGGAAAGCACACTGGGAAGCAGAGGTGGGTAGTAACTACAGACATTTACTCAGTTACATTCAACTGAGCAACGTTTTGAAAGAAAAATTACTTTTAGGAGTAATTTTACAGCATTGTACTTTTTACTTTTACTTGGGTGAAAATATGATAATACCACTTCTCATACCAGAGTAAAATGTCTGGTTCTCCATGCAGTGTGAATAACTTCACCTCATGAAAACAAGCTTGTTTTAAACCAATATGCAGAACAGAGAGACACATTGTTTTAGTTTTACTCAAGGTTTATTAGTTAATGTATTTTTTTCCTATATGCAGTGTATGTCATGTTATTCATTCACTCACTTTACTTTATTTTTGGTACGTTATCCAACATTAAACACTGGAAATAATACAAAAAACAACAACAACAACAATAAACAAACAAACAAACCAAAAAAAGGACGAGGCTGAAGCAAAGCTTATTCTTGCCTACCCTGTTTTATATTTTCAACCTTTACAACCTACCCGGTTCTTCACAGTACATATATAAATATTAAAATCTATATAACAACATAGTTTTACATTTTAAAACTCTTTTGAAATTCACCAAAAAAAGACTTAACTTAAATTCAGTTCATTCCAGTTTCACACCAAGAACTGAAACATCTAGACTTTATCTGGATCTTCTCTCTTGCATATTCAAATATAAATAAACCTCACTAATTATATTTATTCTCTCTTAGCTTAAATAATTTCTGAAAACCAGAGGGAAGACTTTTGTTCACTGCTTTATGCATCATTTCCAGTATTTTTATATAAACAGTATCTATGAATTCGAATGTGTTGCTTTAAATTAAAAGTTTATCAGTTGGTTCACGGTGTCCCGCCTTATTAATAAACCTTAGAGCTTTTTTTTTTTTGCAACTTAATCTCTCAATAATAATTTTAATATTATTATTATGAATTAATATTTCTGAACAATAAGACCAAAGTCGAATATATGGCATACAGGCCTTTGATATTTATTAAATCTTTTATTTTAAACAATATTCCAATAATTTTTGCAACTTTTATTTCTAATATATTCTGTGTGAGGCTGTTAAATGAGTTTATTGTCAATAATAAGCCCTAAAACTTTTGTCTCATAAGCTCTTTTAATTTCAACTCTATTTATACATAACTTTACATTTTTATGGACCCGATTACCAGCCAATACCACAAACCATAAATTTAGTTTTCTTTAATTTAATGACAACTTATTGTAATCAAACCATGTTTTCAACTCAGCTAACTCTTTTTCTTTTTTGTTTTTATCTATTTATTTTTATTTATTTATAATTTTTT